AGCAAGTGGCAAAGCCAGCATGTGAAACCCAGTCTGACTCCAAAGTGAGAGCTCTTAGCCACTGTGCTCCAGCGTCCTCAAGGTTCACAGTCCACGGCTCTACAGTATTGCTCTTCTCATTACAAGTGTATGCACGAAGTGTGGATACTTCCTGTATCCTGATTCAAACCAATCGACTTGCTTAAAAAAATTTTAAAAACACCAAACAGGAAAATCTGTGCACTGACTGGTTGCTTGGTGATATTAAGGAATACTTTTTTTTTTAGGTGTGATAATGGTATTGTGGTTATGTTAAAAACAAGTTCTTACCTTTTACAGATACTGAAGTGTTTACAGATGAAACAGTAGGTCTAGGATTTGATTCGAAACTACCCAGGAGGTAAGGGAGGGGTGTGGATATAGAGCAAGATTGGCCCTGTGTTAGATAATTGTAGACGCTAGCTGATGGGTACACGCGGGTTCAATAGAGCGTTTTCTCTGCTTTGGTACATGTTTCAAATTTTCCACAATGAATAAAATGCACAATAAAAAAGAATGGGGGAAAACCATGATTTTAACATACTTGGGAAACAGAACTTTGAGTTATTTTTCCCATTCTACTTTTTGTATCGTTCCCATTTTCTGTGTCACTTTTATCATATAAAACATGAAATAAATATTTAAAGAAATGCAGATACTCCTTGCACACTGCTCCTGGACTCTGGGTATTCTCCAACTTTAATAAGCAGACCAAGACTGCCCATAATCGAATGGGGTCAAAACATCATGACAAAAGCATTTGCTATCTTTTTTATCAGTTCTCTACTATTCACATACTTTTAGAAAAGCCACTTTGCAAGAACAAATATGGTCTTTAAATATAAACTAGCCAAGAACATAAAGGCACGTAAGTGCAAAATTGCTTTAACAAAAATAACCAACGATACAGTTCATCTTCAAGGTTGGCAGAGTCTGGGTCGAGGACCTTAAACGTGCAAAGCTGACCTTGCCAATGGCCAGACAGGCCCCGATATATGGGCCTATCTCCTTAGGCTTTGATGCTGCCAGTGCTGGGAGTGGGGGTTCGCAGACCACCCGAGCTCCTAGGCCAAGAGTTCCGTGACCATCTCCAGTTCTCCCCAGTGATACAACAATTATTTCCACACGTACCACAATATGAAAAAAGTTTGGGGAGTTTCACACACTGACTGCCACACAAAAAAACCAGAAACTTTTCCTTAGGGCCATAGTGTTTTATTACGAAAATATAATAAAAACTTCCAGTGTAATTTAAAGGTAAACACAAATAGAAAAACAAAATGTACTGACTTCTATTCACTGAATCCACGTTTTTAGAACTGTCAATATTAATTGTAACAAAAAGAACATCAACAAGATTTTATATATGCTTCACGCAGCCCTGGGGTCAAAACTAGAGTGAGTTAAATACAACTTTCATTACAGTTAATGTGTTAAGCTAGACCTGCCTTGATCATTATTCAAAAGCTAAATGAAAGTATAGTAATAGTACAAGGGAATCTCTTTAAAATGCTGGTATATAAAAAAGAATCCCAATCATGTTATAGGCCTACACTATTGTTTTCTAATTTTTTAAATCTGCTCTCCCACACTCCACTTAGGAAATCTTAAAATATATTCCAACATCATTCAATGAAGTAATCTCCAAGTATAAATGTTAGCTCAGTGGCATAACGGTAAATTTGGGGGACAAGAGCAGAATCCGGATAATCTGTGCCAATGCTAAATGTATTCAAGGTAAATCTAAAATAATCCCACTTATTAAGGTTGAAAGAAAAGTACTTAAGTATCGGTGGAAAATCTTCCCAGAAGCTTATTAGAGCTATAAAGATCTTCTTTTAAATGACAAAAAACTGAAGCCCAAATTATTTGCTCAAGTTCACAGTGGCTGAACAGGGACTAGTCCCAGATCTCCTGGCTCCCAGAGACTGCACTTTCCAGGACTCCTCCACAGAATTCCTGCTAATTGCTTCCCTTAACCTCTCTAGAACCATAAAACAATATCCAAGTACTTTCTGCTCTACAAGGAAAGGGACTCTCTGGTTAATCTGCAACTAGCAAATCATAGCTTGAGGAGAAGCAATTTAACTTTATGCCACTAATTAACCTTAAATTTGTGATATTTAAACACAAGTTTATTAGTTAGTTCTTGTTTATATTTATGAAGTACTATGGCAGCCTTTTCTTGCACAGATTAAGAAATATCTTTTAAAAAACGTCATCAAGTTCTTCTTTATATGGTTATTTTAGGGGCACGTATTGAGATATATCAAAACCTATGTAAATAAGCCATGCTTGAACAGAGCAGTACTCTGTAAGAATGAAGACACCACTAACAGAATTTCCTTCCTTGTACTGAAAAACAGTTCAGGCAAGAGGAGTTTCCAACAAAATAGAATGTGAGACTGGTACATTAGTGGAAAAATGAACTGTCTAATAAAAAACCAATCAGTTAAATGAGGAAGAGAGAGATGACAATATAGAGATGAAAAAAACAAAAGAGGCCGGGAGCGGTGGCTCACGCCTGTAATCCTAGCTCTCTGGGAGGCCGAGGCGGGCAGATTGTTTGAGCTCAGGAGTTCGAGACCAGCCTGAGCAAGAGCGAGACCCCGTCTCTACTAAAAATTAGAAAGAAATTAATTGGACAACTAAAAATATATAGAAAAAATTAGCCAGGCATGGTGGCACATGCCTGTAGTCCCAGCTACTCGGGAGGCTGAGGCAGGAGGATCGCTTGAGCCCAGGAGTTTGAGGTTGCTGTGAGCTAGGATGACGCCATGGCACTCTAGCCCGGGCAACACAGTGAGACTCTGTCTCAAAAAAAAAAAAAAAACAAAAAAACAAAAGACATGATATTTGCGTAAGTTCTTTATACTTAGCAACTCTACTTTAAATTACCAAATGCCCATTCTCTCAGGAGAAACATTACGGGAAGTCTAACTTCAATACCCATATTGGCTAAACTGTACTGTCACACCAAACACTTTGTATTCTTTAAATTTCTCTACGAAGATTCAACAGGAAAAACCTAAAAGTTCCTTTTCCAGAAAAAAGTGATTAGTGTTTTTATTCTTAGGCACTATAGTATGTGTCTTGGGTTAACCTGAAACCCAAGAACACAAGCTCTGTGTCACTAGAGCAAGGACATCTGAGATGGTTGTTCATTTTGTTTCCTGCCACACGATGTCAATTCTGCAAGAACAGATGTAGTTTCTTCAATGCCATAAGGAAAGGTTAAGGTAAAAACAGGATCGCCCAGACTCCACACAAAATCATGAAAGTCCTGTACCCAAAAGAGGTTTATAATTAAAGTAATGATGTGAATTTAAGTCCTGATGTCCAAATTTCAGGGTCCTTGGAAAAGGGTGCTCCATGTACGTAACGTGATGTGCAACCGTTCAGTGAAATTAGAACCTAAGTCTGGAGCATAAAAGGTAGTAATTCTCTTAGGGTAAAATTTCTCACCTTTTATAGATCTATGTCCTACTGGTGAATTTGCAGGAAAAAAAAAACAAAGAAAAACAAAGGTTGTTTCCCAATCTCCCTTGGAATTCTTTGCATTTATATCTGGAATATCTGCCTTGCAACAGAAATACACACAAGTCTCTTCCCACTTTACAAATATATTTGTCCCTACCTTCATTCTTCAGGTCAAAAACTGACAGAAATAAGACAATTCAAAATGCTCGGACACACATCCATGATGCACTTCAGCCATCTAACAGATACTTCTGAGTTTACCATGTGCCAGTTGCGTGGATTTAAAAAAAAAAAAAAAAAAAAGAGTCCTCCTGGATATCACAGATCAATAGCAGCTGCCAATGGTACACCCCGACGTGCATAACTCACAATCAACTCAAACTCAAAGGACAGCACAGGGCAGGAGAAAAAAGACCTCTGAATGGGGTGTGCCCTCATCACTGACCACCTAGACCGCACCATCCCAGCTGGTTCCCCTGGTCGGTAGCCTTTCCAATCTGTCCTGCATTCAACTGCCAGATTCATTTCTAGAATTCCACTTTCAGGGAGTCTCTGCTCTACTCAAGAAGCTTCCAAAAGACTCCCTGCTACTTAACCACATCTAGTTCAAACTCTTCTTGGAAGTACCCATAGGCTAGCTCCACCTGCTTGACTTAGTTTAGTGCTCAACATGGCTCCCTTCTGCCAATTCCTTTTCAAGCGGGAAGGACCCAAACCTAATTCAACTTCCTGCTGACTCCTTGGGCAGCCTTCATTCTAAGCAGTCTTAAAAGACTGTTCCCTCTGTAGTCAGTACAGACCGTTCGTTTTCAGGACATTCTTTCGGAAGTCGGCATAAGCTTTCTCCACAAACGGCGGGTACATCCCAAGGCATTTTTAACACCACCGTCATCCCGAACAGGTGTTCGTATTCCCAGCCACCCCTCTGCGAAAGCAGAGGGAGTCCCGGCCTCGCATCCTGGAAGAGGGCGACAGGGCTTTGGGCGCCTGCAAACCGCGGAGAGGGAAAAAACGAAGGGAGAAAGGAAAGGGAACGTCTGCGTCCCGTGCTCTCAGTCCTTTCTCTGGGAAGGGAGGGAGCGGGGGGAGGAGACCCCAAGAAACGGATTCTGAGGAAGGACAGAAAACGTCCGTGTGCCCTGGGCGGAGACGGCCAGCTGCGCCGCGACACAAAGAGGCTGGGCGTCGGAAGGCGAGGGCATCGCCGAGGGCCGAGGAGCGAGGAGCGAGCGCACGGCGCGCCCTCGGGGCAGCGGCCGAGCGCCGACGCGGTGGTCCGCGGGGACGAGGCGGTGACAAGGCTCCGCGGCGGGCGTCCGCGGGCATCAGCCAAGGGGCGCGGGGGCGGGGAGGAGCTTTTGAGTGGGGTCGCGTCCCAGAGGGACAAACGCTGCGCAGGGCGTGCTCTCCGAGAACGGAGACCTCGGCGACGCGGAAGGCGTGAGAGCGTCGAGGCACCGGCGTTTCCCAGCCCCACACCGCCGGCGTCCCTGCACACTCACCGCGTCGCTTCCAAACGCCACCACTCCGGCTGCAGCGACCGGCCGGCGCAGCCGCACTGAGCGCGCCCGCCCACGTGACTCGCCGGGGGCCACGGCCTCTCCACGTGACCCGCGGGCAGCGTTAGTCCCCTCCCTCTCGCCGCTCTTCTCCGCGTGGTCGTGCCGCCCCTCCCTCCCTGGCAAGATGGCGGCGCCCGGCTGTGGCGTGCCGGGCCTCCGGATCCGGGGTGCCGGCCAGCCTTTGGGGAGTCTCGTCACTCTCGTTTCAAGGCTATTTTGCTCCGCCGCCGCTTCCTCTAAGTCTCTGGACGCCCAGCGATTAGCCGAAAGGCTTCGAGCCCAAAAGCAGGAACAGAAGACGAAAAAGGAGTCGGTGAGTCCAGAGGGACCACAACTCCCAAGAGGCAATGCGCTCACTGGTTTTCCTGGCGGGGAGTGAGGTGGGGGAGTCCTCTGACTGACAGCAAGTAAGTAGACGTCCGGGACATGGGGGAGAATGGAGAGGAAGCGGAGGAGAGCGGTCAGTACGAGTACGGCATCTTCCCGTGCGGTGGTGCGTCTTTGCCCCTGCCGGGCTCAGTGCTAACCGCTGCGTGGGCGAGTCTGATACAAAACTACAGTCGTTCCCTCCCCAAATCGTCACCCAGACCCTACAGAAGGCCTCCCCACCGGGCGTTCCCCACTGTTCTTTCTCTCTCCCTAGGTGCCCACAAACCCCGTTCAGCGGAGGGTGCGAGAATTAGTGCGCTTCACACAGCAGCTGCAGCGAGTCCACCCCAATGTGCTCGCTAAGGCACTGAGCCGAGGGATTCTCCACCAGGACAAGGACCTCGTGGTCATCAATAAGCCCTATGGCCTACCTGTGCACGGTAAGGACCGTGTGGGAAAGGACCCTGCTGCCGCTTTCTGCTACAGCTAAGGGAAACTGACACATTGCTGGTGGGGCACTCTGAAGCCTTGCATTCAAATCGATTAAACCTTTGTAGACTGTTACCCTGTATAATGCACTACTGAGGACACGGAGATAGATGAGACAACCCCTACCTTCCACACACCTGCCAATCAGCGGCGATTCATGGACCACCCTGTGTACACACTCCCACAGGGATTGCTGTAGAGAAATACTGTGTGGTTCTAGTCTTCAGGTTATTATTATTTTTTTAATCAAAACTGAAAATGAGGCCGGGCGCGGTGGCTCACGCCTGTAATCCTAGCTCTCTGGGAGGCCAAGGCGGGCGGATTGTTTGA